ACTTCGGCTGTGCGCATGCTGTGAGCAACTGCTCGAGTGGGACGCCTTTGCGAAGCGGAGGTGGCCAGCACTTGCTACTGTGACCAAACATTAAACCACCGCCGCGAAGCGGCGGCGCTCGGCTAGTACAACAGCAATACGCTTTATAAGTATGATCTTCTGGTGATAAATACTGAAATGAAGAAATATGCGCATTAATATTTACATACTTAGATCAAGATATTTATTTACATGGATACATCTACATCAACACATGTCTGGCACGGTTCAGTTGATCATCGGCAGCACAGTCGATTTTCCAAGATGTAGTCCTCATAATAGCCAATAAAAATATTTTGTCAAATCCAACGTGGCAGTACCGTGGTCTTATGAAGGGCAAAAATGCCTCCTTTGGCAAGAAAACTTCCCCTATCACTAGCAATTTTCACCATCTTCCGCTATTTAGAAAAGGTTGCTTAGCGGCGAGTGTCGTAGCTTTATGAAACGAGGCAAATTGCTCCCTTTCATCTCTTAACAACTTGAGTTCTATAATATAATTTATCAAATTGACAATCTCGCGAATACCCTTTTTCAGGCGCGTCAGTTTCATTCTTTTATCGAAGTAGTAACTATGCTATTGGTTCTGCGTACACTGTATGTAAACGCTAACCACCTACCTCAAACAAGCCATGGATCGGTCTTACTTATTCGCAAGGATACATACGTTTTCCGGTCGATGTTTGAAGCCAATCGGCTCTGGAAGGTACATTGCTGATCGCATTTCCGGATTAGGCGGGGGCGATTGTGCGTGATTCCTAACTGAGTATGTACAGTAGCTGTTAGAAATCTTTGACAAAAAGAAGAAGAATTTGTTGGGTCTGTCATAGAATTTTACTCCCATGGAGCTGTTATTCAGCTTTGATCGTGTAGATACTGCCGCTACGAGGTAGGCACAGGGGATTCAGGAGCGATAGCTAAGTCTATACAGAAACTATATCCTACACCCCACAAGGGTCCCACACTAAAGAAAAAAAAAAACGCCGTTCGACATACTGCACACCTAGTATGTATTATATCACCCCGCCAAACCAACTTTGCAGTATACTCGCTGCCTTCGCTGTGGACAGAAACCTATGCCCGCTGCGGTCCGCAAGGAAGCCTACAGTTGCTAGAGAGGACAATGCTTGATGTGTGTGAGATTTGTCTGCTGGCAGCAGCTAAAACTTCCTTCGTTGGGCCCACATGTTGGTAAAACGTCCTACGAGTCGTCCTGTTTTTGGAGGACGCTTTTTCGGATGTAGGCGCTTTTTCAGTATGAACTATAATTGTTTTTCCCACAAAGGAAACCCCAGTCTTCGAAACTTCGGTGATTGGGATTTGATAAATGTCGGTGCTTCTTCTAGCAAAGTACTTTGTTTTAGATAATAATCGAGACCCCGGGTGTAGTGGCGCCTCGTAAAAGTAGGAATTAATTATTATAGAGCTAACATTCTAATAAGACCAAACAAACAAAAATTCAAATAAGGTTTTCCATCACGCAACAGGATTGGGGGCAAATGGTGTTCATTGCTGAGCAGCAGTCGATGGGTGCGGCGAGGCGGGTGATCTCAGTGCGGCAAAATTGAGTGTGAATCCGCGGGGGACTTCCTCGCCCTACTGTTAACTCTATTCTAATCTATGTATGTCGGCGACGCAATTTGCACCCTTACACGTCTACGAATCTTAATACTTCCGGAAATAGGAGTATCCTTCTCATTGGATACTCCAACAAAAGCCTAAAAAGTGTATCCTCTCCGAGATCCAAAAATGTTGTTTTGGTCAATTTCCCGAGGAAAAATACGAACATATTGAGTTTTGGCGCGAATGCCAATTTAGTGCATGCATTCTCCGCTTTCCTTCATTCTTATCGCCACCATTTGGTAGTCACCAATGACCGTTATCTGGAGCGCCACCATTGCCCCTAACCTGTCGTCGTCGTAGTAGCTGCACCGGTTTAAGAATTTTTGTCCGTCAATAGCTTGTAAGCACCACCCACGGCGAATCCACCGGCGGTAGCACCCAGGGCAAACTCCTTCAGGAGACCCCAAGATGAAGGGTTCTTTGTCACAGTCTCCGCAATCTTTTTGGACACTATGGCTGTAGATTCTTCAGTGGCCATGTTGCCTTCCTTCTGCGCAAAACCGAGGATAAATCTCATGGTATGGGCCTCGTCTCCCTTGGCCTCCCTCACCAAAGTCATTACTGCAGCCACTTCGTCATCACTGGCTTTCGCAATGGCCTTCGCTAAAGCTGCGAGGCCGTTTGCTTTCTTGATAGCAGCTTCGTCACCGTTAGCAGCATTGAGCAGCTTCGCGGCTTTCTTCAGCATTTGGCCATCAACCTGTCCGGAGAGAAAGTGAGTAGCGCGCTTTTCGCAATCATTTTAGGGTTAAGGCAGCCATGGTTGTCCTTGCTGGTGGAGGCGGAAACGTTCTCGGCAATGGCCACACTGGAGCAACACGAAACCAAGGTGACCACGAACAGTGGAACGAAGCCGATGAATCGCATTGTTTAGTTCTTTGCCTGTGGATTGTCGAGTGAGTGGAATCGAAAATGCTGATTCAGCAGCCACCCCGTAGTTACGACGTCTTGCGCGCTGTAATGCAGATTGCGAAGTGAGTTTTATTGAGCAACCGTGTTTATCGTTATGTCCTTCACCACTGATGGGCGTGGGATATCTTGTGGTAGCGTCCTCCACTTGCTTATTCGATGACGCTGTCGCCTATGTGGTGCCACTGTTGACGTAGATTATGCGCGCCGCAGTTGACGCGTGCAATACTCCACAGTATGTTTCGAAAGATGACGTGACGAAACATTTACTATAATAGCAATCCATAGTGTCGGGGATACATCAACTGATTAAAACAAGAAGAGAAACGATGCAAACTATAGACCGTACAAAGTTTCATGTATGGATGCCAACCTGCTCATGAGGCAGTATTCGTTGAGCATATACCATAGTATGCACAGACCCTTATTTATCGCTAAATAGAATAATCGTTATCGAAAGGTGTACCGATATTTCACTTAAGTTGATATGTTGGGAGCATATATACCGATGCGAACAGATTAACTGGAATAAGACCCCGTAATGGCTTCTGGTGTAAATGGGTGATTGATATGCGGCTGCCTTCAATGTGGAGTGGAATGCTGAAACTCATAGATATTCAGTGCTGGAAGTAAAATGGTCTTCTTAACTACTACGTGTGTGCCACAATGAGCTATTAATGCTGGATGGTGGAGACGCTACAAGAGACGAACTAGTCAGCATGATAATTTTCCCCACGTAAAGAATTTAACATCGTCAAAGCCTCGCCGATGAAAATGTATTTTGTCACGGATAGGGCATTGTAGCGTTGGTGTTTTAAGTGTCAGAAAGGAGGTTGCAGCATGGTTCACCACCAGATAAGACTCGATATTAATGTAGGTGCAATTCCGAGACGGGTATTCGGCAACTGTCGTTTGCCCTCAACGAGATGCCGGCAATTCACCAATGCAACTATTACCATCATTACCGTAATTTCTTTTTTTGAATCCAACTGTTTTATTTATTGAGTCGAAATAATTTTCCGCCCTCTGTCCTGGATGACTCTGGATTGATTCTAATGAATCCAGAGCTTTTCACACATAACTGTGACGGGGTCACACAGCACCTTGTGCAGAGGAAGTTGATTTTTTCCTCTAGAGTATACAAACTCTAAGTGAACGACCGTTCACGTGTCCCTGGTC